AAGGCACTGTAAAATCAGATCATATTTATGGCTTATTATTTATGAACGCTCTGCGTTATATATGAATTATTCATAAAAATATATCAAATATTTAACATGTGCAAATGTATACTGTATTAGTTTTTCTGAATTACTGGCCAAGGAATTCACTATTCATTTCATTTTTATAAACAGCAATAATTATTCTATTTCGTCAATCAACTGTAAATAATGAAAAATAGTCAAAATACAACGTGCCCTATTTTAAGTATAATGCTATCGAGATTTTCTATCGCAGACTCAACATCTTTATATCATATTGAAGTCGTCGTTTCGCATTATACACATTTAGTATAGAAATAGACTCATACGAAGTATGAAAAGTGAACACACATTTAGAGCGATTCTTTTTTCACGTTTTATCTTATAAAACGCATGTTTTCGTTACGCCATATTCGACATTATTTTCAGATATTTGGTAATCTACTGATTGTCCGTTAGAAAGTTAACGATTTAGATACAGTAACTCGTGGACAAGTATATACTTAACTGACAATTCGATCAATGGCATTCGGCCGCGTTGTTATTCACACGCCAATTTACTGTCGAAACTACTCAGAGCGATGGCGAAGGCCTGTACTGTACAAAGAGGAAATCGATAATCCATCGTAAAAACATCCTCTGCGACACGTCCAAATTGCATTACGACGTAGTCCACTAAAAAAAATTAATTAAAATAAATTCTTCAAAATAAATTATAGAAAAATGCCATAGACATTACATCATATTGGGTTGTCCGGAAAATTCGTGCCGACTAACCTATATAGTTTAATAAATGTATACTAAAATTTAAATTTTCTGCATTTCAATTTTCCTTCAACATCGGCAACGAATTTTCCAGACAACCCAATACATTATATATAAAGTAAAAAAATATTCAGCTTCGTCTTACCATCGCTGTCATGGACTACTTGGAAATTCTTTACAGATGCTTGAGTTACTCGCCCATGAAAATTAAGCACATAGGATTGCGTATCATCGTTCCATACGGGAGTTTTGTTATGTAGCTCTATCAGATTATCCATTTGTTTTAATTTCCATCGTTCTAGAAGTATAAACAAGAATTTGTTAAATATATTACTTATGAGTTCTAATGTAAATATTAA